TATATATATATATATATAATCAGATGTTTTTTTTATTGAACATTCATTTTTTTAATTAATACAGTATATTATGTATATGTATATACTAATAAATTCGTGGTGGCATTAGAATTGTAAACATTATTATTCACTTAATAAAATGTAAATTTTTCTTGTTATTTTCTTCCAATTAATTTTCTAAGACAACACATGCTGTCCACATACAATCATGCTGTCGACTGACCCACTGTGGTGTGAGCTGACAATCACCTCTGAAGTGTTGGTCTCCCGTCCTATCTGAAAGTCAAAGATGACATTACTCATTAGAATACTTAGGCCTTTACAATGGGATTAGTGAAATCACAATAAACGACGTAAACAAGGCTATGTTAGCCTAAAATATGTATATGCATATACTGCATAGGCAGGTAATGCTTGATCACACTAATCCTCAAATATTAGCGATTTTTTATGTTTTAAAAACAACATTGCTGTAACTACATACTCATAAAACATGCTGAAGTCTGTATATTATATAAATATTGCAAATCAGTGTATTTACTTATTACAAATTACCAAAAATCCCCCAGAGGATCAGAGCCCAAGCTTCAGCTGGCTCTGTGTGTTCAGCTCCTCCAGCTTCCACACTGTGCTCCTCAACCTCCGAGATGGTCCTCATCCTCAAACACTAAATCCTGTGGTCTAATCCTGTGAGCTCTAAAAATGTTAAAACCACCTTAAACATCTGACTATCACTCAAACCCTTTCCCAGAAGGTGCACGACACTCACTGGCCTGTTCCTTATATTGCTAAAAAGACTTACGCTGATCTTTATATTTACTACATTTAAAAAGCACATGCTCTACTGTTTCAAAAACATCACATTCATCACACATACCATTTTCATGCTTCCCCATTAATGCAAGTGTTGAATTTAGTCCTGTGTGACCCATCCTTAATCTAGAAATCATTACTTCTTCCTTTCTGTGTCTTCCATAAAACTGTTCTTTTTTCCCTACTGATTTTACAATATTATAATACCACCTACCTGTGCTGCTATTTTCCCATCTTTGTTGCCATATTCTTATTATTTCCCTATTAAT